CACTGACCACCAATGAAAGAAGTGCCCCTTCCTGAAGTGCGGCGGGGGGCCGGATAAATGGCCTCAGGGGGCCGCATGCAGCCCGCGGGCCCGTAGTTTGGGGACGCCTGCTTTAAAATGATAAAATAGTAAATGTTATGTATAGTTTACCACATTTTTATTTTTTGTTGTTTTTTAGAGATGATGTCTCCCTGTCACCCAGGCTGGAGTGCAGAGGTACAATCATGGCTCACCGCAGCCTCTCAAACTCCTGGGCTCAAGCCATCCTCTTGCCTCAGCCTCCTAGTAATTAGCACTATAGGCACACACTACTATGCCCAGTTAATTTTTCATTTTTGGGTTTTTTCTTTTTTTTTTTTTTTTTGAGACGGAGTTTCGCTCTTGTTACCCAGGCTGGAGTGCAATGGCGCGATCTCGGCTCACCGCAACCTCCACCTCCTGGGTTCAGGCAATTCTCCTGCCTCAGCCTCCCGAGTAGCTGGGATTATAGGCACGTGCCACCATGCCCAGCTAACTTTTTGTATTTTTAGTAGAGACAGGGTTTCACCATGTTGACCAGGTTGGTCTCGATCTCTCGACCTTGTGATCCACCCGCCTCGGCCTCCCAAAGTGCTGGGATTACAGGCTTGAGCCACCGCGCTGGGCCAATTTTTGGGTTTTTTAAGATAGTGTCTTGTTCTGTTGCTGAGGCTAGAGTGCAGTCACAAGAACATTGCTCACTGTAGCCTCAACCTCCTGGGCTCAAGTGCTCTTCCTGCCTCAGACTCTCAAAAGTGCTGGGATTCCAGACATGAGCTACCATGCGTGGCCTAAAAATCATATTACCTTTTTTTTTTTTTTTGAGACAGAGTCTTGCTTTGTTGCCAGGCTGGAGTGCAGTGGCACGATGTCAGCTCACTGTAACCTCTGCCTCCCAGGTTCAAGACATTCTCCTGCCTCAGCCTCTCAAATAGCTGGGATTACAGCTGCCCACCACTACGCCTAGCTGATTTTTTGTGTTTTTAGTAGAGACAGGGTTCCACCATGTTGGCCAGGCTGGTCTCAAATTCCTGTTCTCATGACTCGCCTGCCTTGGCCTCCCAAAGTGCTGGGATTACAGGCATGAGCCTCCGCATCTGGCCAACCCAGGCTAATTTTTAAATATTTTTGTAGAGATGGGAATCTCACTATGCTGCCCAGGCTAGTTTTGAACTCCTGGCCTCAAGCAATCCTCCCACCTCAGCCTCCCAAAGTGTTGGGATTACAGGCATGAGCCACCACACTCAGTCCCAGACCTTTTTTTTTTTTAAAGAAAATACTGGCTGGGTGCAATCTTTTCTTTAAAAAATAAAATAAAGAAAGAAAAGCTGGCCAGGCACGGTGGCTCAAGCCTGTAATCCCAGCACTTTGGGAGGCCGAGGCGGGTGGATCACGAGGTCGAGAGATCGAGACCATCCTGGTCAACATGGTGAAACCCCGTCTCTACTAAAAATACAAAAAAAAAAAAAAAAATTAGCTGGGCATGGTGGCACGTGCCTGTAATCCCAGCTACTCAGGAGGCTGAGGCAGGAGAATTGCCTGAACCCAGCAGGCGGAGGTTGCGGTGAGCCGAGATCGCGCCATTGCACTCCAGCCTGGGTAACAAGAGCAAAAAACTCCGTCTCAAAAAAAAAAAAAAAAATATATATATATATATATATTTTTTTTTTTAAATGAAGAGATGAATGGTGGAGGAGACCCTCCCGGACAGAAAAGAGAAGCATGGGGAAAGGTGAAGAGCTGGAAAAAGTGTTTCCAAGAAACAGTCGGTAGTCTAGTTTGATAAGAGTGAAAGATACATACTAGGATGTTCTGGGAGATAAAGCCAGAAAGGTAGGCTGGCATCAGATTGATAAAGGCCTTTAGCAAAAGAATCGAGTCTGGGCCAGGCACAGTGGCTTATGCCTGTAATCCTAGCACTTTGGGAGGCCGAGGCAAGCAGATGACAAGATCAGGAGTTCAAGACCAGCTTGGCCAACATGGTGAAACCCTGTCTCTACTAAAAATACAAAAATTAGCCAGGCACGGTGGCACGTGCCTATAATCCCAGCTACGTGGGAGGCTGAGGCAGAAGAATCTCTTGAACCCAGGAGGTAGAAGTTGCAGTGAGCCGAGATCATGCCACTGCACTCCAGCTGGGGTGACAGAGTGAGACTCTGTCTCAAAAAAAAAGAAAAAGAAAAAAAAAAAAGAAAATAGAGAGTCTGTATTGTATGTGGCAGGCAATGGAGAGCATCACCAAAGGCATTTAGCTTAGGAATAACACATGCAAAGTGATTAATACTTTTATGTAGTGAAGATGCTCTGGACAGACTGAAGGGCATAGCCAGCTGGAAGGCTGCCACAGTAGCTGAGGCATGGAAACAGGGACTTGGGCTGGGTGAAGAAAGTGGGGGCAAAAGGCAACTGTTTCGTGAAGAACCATTGGAATCTGGTAATTGATTAAATATGGAAAGTCAGAGTTACCCTGAGGTTTACACCTGGGTATAGGAGACTAGCAGTAACGGAAAAATCAGCAGGAGGTGCTGGTTTGAAGCTCAAGACTCAGGGGTGAGCCGTAAGAAAAAAGAATGAGTTTAGTTTCATCCCAGGCTTCCTGTAAAACGGATCCTTCACAGTCCCTTGTACTCAAACAAGCATCCAGCCAGAAACAGAATTCTCCTTCCAAGGACAGTTCCTCCATCAGACCAGCCTCATCTGGCCCCACAACCCAGTCCCAGGGACCATTAGGTCCTTACAGCTAGCCTGGGCTTCTGGAACCTTCAGTTCTTCTCTGACAGCATCCCTTCAACCTAGTTCCTATCTGGCCTCCATATAGTTCCAAGTCTTTCCTTAACCTCCTCTCTTATCTGAGTCTTTTTTCCTCTTTAAGAGGAGAAGAATTGGCTGGGCACAGTGTCTCAAGGCTGTAATCCCAGCACTTTGGGAGGCCGAGGAGGGCAGATCATGAGGTCAAGAGATCAGACCATCCTGGCCAACATAGTGAAACCCCATCTCGACTAAAATACAAAAAAAATTAGCTGGGTGTGGTGGCGTGCTCCTATAGTCCCAGCTATTCGGGAGGCTGAGGCAGGAGAATGGCTTGAACCCGGGAGGCGGAGGTTGCAGTGAGCAAAGATTGCACCACTGCACTCCAGCCTGGCACCTGGCAACAGAGCAAGACTCTGTGTCAAAAAAAAAAAAAAAAAAAAAAAAAAAATTGCATAAAGAGGAGAAGAATCAGAGGTATCTGCCCAGAAGCACAAGTCCTGCAACATGCAGGCCAAGATGGGCACCCGCAGGAAGCTCAAGTGCAGACAGGCAAGGCAAGCATATGTGCCCTTGTGGTCAACAGCTGCTGCTTGCACTACCTAGAGGGAGGAGAGGCGGGAAAGAGGGAAGACAGGAATGAACAGAGCCAAGGTGGAGGGTGAACCTGGCGCAGGATGGTAGGTGGGCAAGTGGGGACCACCTGTGGATCTTGTTGTATACAGGCCTTGCTCTACACAGCCCCACCCACCATAGTAGGGGCAGGGAGGATCTCTGCTTATCAGCTCAGCATCCCATTGACCCCAAAATTATTCCATTGGTTGCCTCCAAAGCACATACTCTAGCCCCATGGCACTTGGCTTCTCTCCCAATTTCTCATTTCTATGTTGAAAATAAGAGCTGCGGTTTGGCAGGAGTGAGGACATTCTGAGAAGGCAGAGTTCAGCCTTGCATAGGAACACTCAGATGGCAGACAGAGCTGGAGAAGGCACCTAGCTGAGCCACCGGAGAGGGTAGAAGGACCATGAAAGGATGGGAGTTAGTCCACCAAACCAAGAGAGGAGCTGCAGAGCAGTGTGCGCTGCCTAGGTTTGCTGTTCTGGTCAAACCAGATCAGCCCCAAGCCTTCTCAGGCCATGTGAAGATCAATTATGTACGACGCATATAACCAGCTCCCTCTCCCCAGGGGCATACTCCTTTACCCAAACCTGTCTCCCACCTTCACCTCCACGGCTCTGGCTTGAGTTATGCCAGCAGGTGGGGTCCTGCTTTAGCCTTTAGCCTGGACTTTCACCTTCCCTGCCACACTCACCTTCTACCTTTACCTCTATAGCTCACTAAGCTGCTCTGTTGGGGGTGCCAATGAGATGGGGTCGCATAGGGTATAGCATTACTACCCAGGCCAATCCCATCAGGCAAACTTTTGCTAACTTCCTTCCCCACCCAGTGGGGGAACACTTTTCCTATTCCTGATTCTCTAACCTGGAAACAGAATTCCCCAAAGACTCACAGCTATCCAGGGTGCCTACCTGGGAGAGAGTGCACCTGGAAGAGTCAAGGGGAAGAGCACGAGCTCTCTGATGGGATCCACTGCTCTGAGAACAAGTCAGCATCACTGAGGGCATGAAACTGAGAAACTTGGATCAAATGTGTCCAATGACGGGGAGAAGCTGTGCTGGGATAGAACACTGAGGAAAATGGGCAGGAAATTCTAGCTGAAATGGGAAAAAAGGAGTCTTGGTCTAGTTTCAGGTTTTCCTAGGACAGTGCTCTCACTAGGAGACAGATGACATCCTGTCAGTGATAATGGAGGCAGTGGAAAGATCACTGGTCTCAGTGGCATCATTCAGTTCTTTGACCTACAACCTAAGAAATCAGATCCCTCATGTGGAAAAGCCAAAGTCACAACACAAGACCTTACAGCTGTTGAGATTAAATGAGATCGCATGTAAGTGCCAGCACTTAGTGAATTGTATAGGACCATAATGCCCTTGAAGCAGGCAGACAGAAGCCTCTGTGGTGGGCACTGGGCTGTCATAACCTTTTCTCAAGTACCAGGCCTGGAGTTCCTCGGGCTTCACATGGCATTTAGCTGTAAGGAAATCCTGATGCACCCTGCAGGCTCTTACCTGTGGCCTGTGGAGTAGGAGTGAACTGGGAAAGAAGGATGAAAAGGAAGAACCATTCTCTGAGGTGGGAGCACAGGCTGCCAGAAGGATGGTGTAAAGGCTCACCTTGCGTTGAGTCTCTAGGAAAAGGAGCATTGTGGCCCCCAGATGTCCTCCAGCCTCCCAAATCTAGGGACAAAAAAGACAGTCAGTTGTGCTCTATCTCCTCTCTGGTTGCACCTGCTTAATCTCTCCCCAGCTTCCTTGTTCTGAGGATGACTGCACCTTCTGAGCAACAGAAGATTCCAGCAGGGAATCAAGACCTTTGATGACTGAAACAGGACTTGTCCTCAGGCCATTCTCCTTTCGTCCCAGGTCCTGAGTTAGTTCTCCCCTCTAATGATCCAAGGCCATTAGACACCCGTCTCTAAGGGGTGTCCTTCAAGGCTAGCTCCTAGCGCAGGTTCAGCCCTGGACAGAACTGGAGAAGGGCAGGGCCCTGGAAGTCAGCCTGAAGATGGTGCTGCTGAAGCCAGCTTCCTCCCTGTGCAGCAGCTGCAGACCTTGGCAATCTGTTGGCATGGTGTACATAGTTTCCCCTTCCCAGTTAGGTCACAGATGGGAGAGAAACCTCCCTAGGAAGGAGTGAGCCATAGAAAAAGAAAAGCCAAGAATGAACACAAGAGTCAAGGGACTATCCATCACTGCTATCACTGATCCTGAGGATTGCTACATTATCCTATGCTTCAGTTTCTTTCCCTCATGGTTCTTCACCTTAGCTCCAGGGAAAGAGGCTCACAAACCCCCTATCCATTTATGCACCTTGTTCCCTTGGCTCTCAATTAGCTGGTACTGTACTAAAGATGCCAACAATATGGCCCTTGCCCATAACGATTTGCCCATTCGCCTCCTTCCCCTAGAAGAATGGCTCTGAGACATATGTAAGTCTAATAAAACAACTTCAGGCCGGGCGCGGTGGCTCAAGCCTGTAATCCCAGCACTTTGGGAGGCCGAGGCGGGTGGATCACGAGGTCAAGAGATCGAGACCATCCTGGTCAACATGGTGAAACCCCGTCTCTACTAAAAATACAAAAAAATTAGCTGGGCATGGTGGCTCGTGCCTGTAATCCCAGCTACTCAGGAGGCTGAGACAGGAGAATTGCCTGAACCCAGGGAGCGGAGGTTGAGGTGAGCCGAGATCGCGCCATTGCACTCCAGCCTGGGTAACAAGAGCGAAACTCCGTCTCAAAAAAAAAAAAAAAAAAAAAAAAAAAAAAAAGAAGCTGAGGCTGACTTTGTCCACAGTCAGACACCCAAGTTTCTCCGACTCTAGATCCTAAGCTGAGAGTCTTGCTCAGATCCTCTCAGGTCCTCTTCTTCCTTCTCGCCCTTGGGGTGCAAGACGGAGCAATGAGGCCAGTAGCGCGTGACATACTGCACGCTCAGAAGAGGCTGCTGTTGCAGACTCCTTCCACGGAGGACGGAACCGGCGGGTCACACACAGCCAGGGCCTGCTCTGCAACGGAATCGCCATGGGCACCAGAATTCCACTCCAAGCCCCGTTCTGCAGAGCCGGGAACTGACGCCCCCAGCGCCTGGGGGCCTCCCGGGTTCCGAATCCATCAGCGGCCGAGCCAGAGCCAGCCTCGGGCGCACTCCCGGCCCCGCGGGATTCCACCTCCGCGTTCACCTGCGACGCGGACCCTCCCCGCGGGCTGCCAGCGCCCGGGAGTGCCTGTCCGCCACGCTCAGGCCCTGGGCTCGAAGTGAGCAGACGCTGGCGCAGGCGAGCGGGGCTTCGCGGGCCACAGCCGGACCCCGGCCTCGCGGACCCGGGTCGCCCCGCCAGTGCCTCTCCTCAGAACGCCGAGGCCTCAGGAGCGGGTGGACGCCGGGACGCCGCCGAGGATCTTGGAAGCGCCGGTCTCGGAGGCAAGGCCGGCTTGGTCTCCTTTCCTCAAGCCCCCTACGCCGCCCCCCGACCCCCGCTCCCCGACCTTCTGCAAACCGGGTCCCAGCCCCAGCGCACCTCGGGAAGAAACAACAAGTTCGCGCTTCGCGGAGTCCAGAGGTCGGGACTCTAAGGAGGGGCGAGGTTCCCATGGCAACGAGGGAACCCTCTTTGCGCCAGCTCAGAGGCGCTAGGCACGCTGGGAAATGTGGTTTCCGGGTTGTCCATGGAGGCTAACGGAACTGACACAAGGTGGCGCCCAAACGTCGCGGTCGATGTGGATAAGTCCGGGTGCCCCGCTCCAGGGCGCTGCGGGCGCAGGAGAGGCCGCGAAGGTCTGAAAGATCGTTTCTCTGAGGCAACTAAGTTACGGAGTGAGGAGACGAAGGCACAGTCTCTTCAGCGCGGTTGATTTTGCCGTTTGAAAAGTTGGTCTAACGAGGGGCTGCCGTGGCTGGCGCGGGGGCGGTCGCTTCTGAGGCCCCGCCCCAGACTGGGCAGAGCCGGACGGGGAGGAGGGAGGACGCTCGGATTGTGGGAGCTGGTTCCGGAGGGGCGCGCGCCACGGTCGTGCAGCGAGTGTTCCAGGTCCGGGCTGGGCGACCCGTCGCGCTGCTGAGGGGCTCCTTTGCCCAGTGGGAGTTGAAAGCGGGCTCCGGGAGCAGCAGCCATCCGGATCCTCGCACCCGCGAGCTCCGGGCACTTCTGGACCCAGGGCCTGCCTTGGGCGGAACTGTGCAGTCAGTTGACTGCCCGGGAGCCACCTTCCCCACTCCCGAGCTAGGCAAAGAATGAGAATCTAGAAACCTAGGATCTGGCCGGGCGCAGTGGCTCACGCCTGTCATCTCTGCACTTTGGGAGGCCGAGGCGGGTGGATCACCTAATGTCAGGAGTTCGAGACCAGCCTGTCCAATGTGATGAAACCCCTTCTCTACTAAAAATAGAGCCAGGTGCAGGTGGTGGGCACCTCTAATCCCAGCTACTCAGGAGGCTGAGGCAGGAGAATCGCTTGAACCCCGGAGGCAGAGGTTGCAGTAAGCCAAGATCACGCCATTGCACTCCAGCCTAGGCGACAGAGAAAGACTCTGTCTCAAAAATAAAAGTAAAAATACACATACCAGTATATTTGATTACGTAAGTATGGGATACCTGGAGGGGCCTCGAAGGCAGCTGCAGTCATTGCCTGAGTAGACATGATGAAGGACTGGAAGACAGAGTGGGATGAAGGACTGGAAGACAGAGTGGGAGTGAGTTTACTTTTCGTTTTATATGCTTCTTCGTTATTTTTTGACCCTTTAGCAATTTCTGTGAGCTTTGTGTACACATAGGGTTCTTGTTTTTTTTTTTTTTTTTTTTTTTTTTTGGAGACAGAGTCACCCTCTGTCACCAAGGCTGGAATGCAGTGGTGCCATCTCCCATCTTGCAACCTCTGCCTCCCGGGTTCAAGCAATTCTCCTGCCTCAGCTTCTCAAATAGCTGGGATTACAGACACACACCACCACGTCCGGCTAATTTTTGTAATTTTTTTTTTTAGTAGAGATGGGGTTTTGTCATGTTGGCCAGACTGGTCTCAAACTCCTGATCTCAGGTGATTCAACCATCTTAGCCTCCCAAAGTGCTGGGAGTACAGGCATGAGCCACCACACCCAGCCCATAGGGTTCTTACTTTGTTCTGTAGAGATGGGGTTTCATCATGTTGCCCAGGCAGGTCTCGAACTCCTGGGCTCAAGCATTCCACCTGCCTCAGCCTCCCAAAGTGATGGGATTACAGGGTGAGCCACCATGCCTGGCACCCCCTTGTCTGCATTTTCGATGTAGTTTCCCCTCCAGTCTTCCTTTTCCTGCTTGCTGACTTCTTACTCCTTGGAATCCTCATGGATTCTAGTGAATCCCATGGCTCTGAGTTCCTGATCAGACCTGCCTTCTGAGAGGTGCAGGCTGCAGGAGGGCAGGGCTTGGCCTTGGCTTCCCCCGACACTCTCACCACCACCCACCCACCTGCAGCCCTAGGAATACGGAAAGGGCAGCCTGGGTAGGACTCCTGGTTGGCCAAAGGATAAGGGGCAGCTCCCAATGTTTGCTCAGCAGGATGGATCAGGAGTTGGAACTAGCTTCCCTGTACCCCACATCTTGTGACCCCTGGGCATACCACCCAGATAGGTGCCAACGATTCCTCTTCTGGAAGGGAGGTAGAGACTAAGTTCTAGCAATGTCTAGATAGCGTGTTTTTGTTTGTTTTTAGACGGAGTCTCGCTCTGTTGCCCAGGCTAGAATGTAGTGGTGTGATCTTGGTTCACCACAACCTCCACCATCTGAGTTCAAGCGATTCTCTGGCCTTAGCCTCCTGAGTAGTTTGGATTACAGGCTCCCACCACCACGCCTGGCTAATTTTTTTTTTTTTTTTTTTTTTTTTTTTAGAGATGGGGTTTCTCCATGTTGGTCAGGTTGGTTTCAAATTCCCAACCTCAGGTGATCTGCCCGCCTCAACCTCCCAAAATGCTGGGATTATAGCATGAGCCATTGCACCCCGCCTCATGTATTGTTGAAATGTATCAAAGTGTAGCCATGCGTGGTGGCCCTGTAGTCCCAGCTACTCAGGAGCCTGAGGTGGGATCTCTTGAGCCTGTGAGGCAGAGGGTACAGTGAGCCAAGATCACCCTACTGCACTCTAACCTGGGCGACAGAGTGAGACCCAGTCTCAAATAAAAATAAAACAAAATGCATCAAAGTGAAGAGGGGTACTTAGGGATTTCCAGGTGTAATCCCTTTGTTTTACAGAAAGAAACAGAGACTCTAGCTGGGGCTAGAATCCAAGTCCCCTGCCACTGGGCACTTCAGGGTTACAGCAGTGCTGGGAGTCCCACGAGGGTCTGGGTGAGAGATTCATTCTTAAAACTGGGCATGAAGTCTCAATCACTGAGAATGCTTGGTGCCAGCTCCCATCTCTGAGGACAGCTTTGAGGGAAGGAGTTGAATCCAGCCCCTTCCCCAAATCAGGGTAGTGTATCATAGGGCAGAGAGCATAATCTTAGGAAGAGGGATAGAAGTGAGAAAGATGGGCCAGGCACGGTGGCTCACATCTGTAATTCCAACACTTTGAGAGGCTGAGATGTGTGGACTGCTCGAGCCCAGGCGTTCAAGGCCAGCCTGGGCAACCTGGTAAAACCCCGCCTCTACAAAAAAAAAAAAATATATATATATATATGTATATATATATATATATATATATATATATATATATATATATATACACAAATTAGCTGGGCATGGTGGTGTGTGCAGGTAGTCCCAGCTACTTGGGGGGCTGAGGCAGGAGGATCACTTGAGCCTGAGAGATTGAGGCTATAAAAAACCAAGATCATATCATTGCACTCCATTCTGGGTGACAGAGCAAGACCTCTCTCAAAAAACAAGAAAGAAATGACAAAGATATAACCACTTAGCTAGGTGTGGTAGCACGTGCCTGTGGTCCCAGCTACTCGGAAGGCTGAAGTGAGAAGATCACTCGAGCCTGGGAATTTAAGGCTGTACTGAGCCATCATTGCGCCACTACACTCCAGCCCGGGCAACAGAACAAGACTGTCTCCAAAAAAGAAAAAAAGATGGAATGACTAACTTTTCTTGGACACTAAAGTTGAGCAGAAGGAACCCCTAGGTGGGAGAAGAAGGGTCACCAAGGGTCCCTCTTCCCAGGGAGCAATCGGCTGGCTTGGAAATCAGGCCCTTTTGCATTGTAGCAGGAGGAAGATGAGTCTTGGGGCCCAAAATATGCCATAGAGCTGGCATCACTGTCCAGAAGGCATCTTCGCTTTTGGAGCAGGCTTGGTCTTGTCCAGGTAGGCACTTCCTCATGAGTAACTCCCTCCAGCTCTCGTAGCAGAGCACACGCCTGCTGTCCGGTGAGGACTTGTTCCCTTGCCCGACCTGCCTGAGCAGGTGTGGGCAGCTAACATTCACCAGCCCTGCCCCAGGAGATGAGGAGACAGCACTGACGTCCTCTCTTCTGTTACCCAATCTTTCTCCCACACCATGCCCAAACACGCCGCTCCCCCAGTAGGTCTGTATCGAGACACCTGAGAATTGTGAGGAAATTGCTGGGAGGAATGGGCAGCCACCCTCCCTGGCCAGCTAAGAAGGGTCTGACTGCGATAGAGACGGCTTCATCATCATCATCATCAGATTGAAAATAATTGAATATGAAAATGTGTTTTATTTCTCAGTACAAAGCCAGATACTCTAAGACTATGAAAACCTGACTAGCCAAAGACCATAAAGGACAGAAAGAAGACTCTCTCTGGCCTGGTGCCCTGTGATCCAGCGCGGTGATGCAGTAGGTTTGGGGACAGCAGCAAAGACCTGGACGGGTTGAGGTGGAAGAGGGCAGCGACCTGCCACCCCTCAAACCTCCTGTGGCTGGGGCTGAGGGTCCTGCCTGCCTTTGGGGCCAGGGGTTGCCTGGCCTGGCTGGTTCCAGGAATGAACTGGGGGAGGTCGGGAGGCACAGGGATGGGCAGGAGTGGGGAACAGGAGCCTTTCTGCACTGGAAGCTCTGTTTTCATTCCGGGACTGCAGGTGAATGTTCAGAGCAAGAGTTGAGAATGAAACTAAGATGCGGTTGCCGCCAATGGCCCCTTCAGTCCCTCTACCACATCCCAGTTAGAAAGTCTTCAGCCCCCCACAGGTGGACGTGGGTCTGGGACTTAGGGCTGTGGGAGGTGTGGCTGTAGTGGGGGGAGGAGCTGAGAGGAATGGGCGCTACCGGAGACATGAGGGGCGTTTCCCTGAGGAGCTGTGGACCCTCTATTTAGTGTTTAGGGAACACGGGAGTGTGTGAGGGCTCAGGCCTCGCCCTCCTCTCCACTGTCATTCACGCTGGCCTGCCTCACCACCTTCCGGAACCTGGGTGTAGAGGAAATGCCGGCCTCTCCCTGCCTCTGCTCCTGGAAGGCGCGGGTCCGGCTGGCCACCAGGGCGGCGCTCTGGAGAGCAACCACCGACTGGCGGGACTTCAGGGCCCGCTGCGGCCCCGGGCCCACCTGCTGGCCTCCCTTGGTCCTCGCAGGCTGCAGGAAGGGCTGCGGAGGCTCTTCAGATGAAGACTCAGGGGAAGAGAAGACCTGGACAGGTGCGCGGATACGGAAGCCATGGGAGGCCTGTCCGGGGTCGGGGCACCAAGCAGAGCCGGGAAGAGGTGGGGGGCGGAATGTTTGCGGCACACACACGCCAAGCTGTCCACAGCCATGCTTCCCCCGTGGGGAGGGCAACACCCCCACCCTGCTGCCCTGCTCCTTGAATCCTACCTGCCTATAGCTTCCTTCTGGCCCCCAGCAGCCCTCCTCAGCTCCCCTGAGACCCAGGCCTCCCTGCCGTCCGCTCCTCCTAGCCTTCCTCTGCCTTTGCACAGGCAGCCAGCGGGTGAAACCACGCCTGCAGCAGCCCCTGACTTGGGCTGGGTGGATGTGGGTGTCGGTGCTGGGTGAGGACCTCCTGCCTTTAGCAACACAGACACCCACCCACCAACCCACCATGCCTCCCTATCCTTCCCCACCCACACCTCCTCCAGGAAGCCTCTCCCAAATATTCCTGCCCTCAGTGGACGCTCCTTCTTCCAAGTCAGCCGTTTGGCCTTGAGTCCCAGACAGGGCCTGGCCCCCGGTCTTTTGCTTGTGCCCGCAGCACTGAGCGTCGAGGGTGCTCACTT